AATGAATCCTTATTTAAAAAGGATAATAAAAAGATAAAGATTTAATAAAACTTTTTTTTTTTTTTTTTTAAATTCTAAGAACAAATTATCTTTTAAAAATAATTTCTAAAACAAAAAAAGGTTTATATTTGAGAAAATAAAAGAAAACAACTAAAAAATAATAATTTAAATATATGTGTATATATATTATTATTATTATTATTATTAATTTTTTTGGTTGTTACAAACTCTCTTTGTAGGGGGGTATGACTTGATGTGGTGTGGGTACACTTACCTTGAGCAACAAGTTTGATTGCTCGTAACGAATCGATACTTGGGTATAATAAGTAAAATACAGTGACACCAAATGATACTTAATGCTTAAGTGATTCAAATGATGCTAAAAGATACCAAATGGTAAGTGATTTCGACAAAAAGTGATCCCAACGATACCCAATAATATATATTGAAAAGAAATAAAAATCTTAAGCCTTAATGCTCTTGGTGGCTATCAATCAAAGAAAAACTTCCAACAACGATAACTTCTTCTCCAGACCTCGAATGACGACGATCTTGGTATACTTGGAAAGCTATTTCAAATACCTTCAAATTGTTTATGATTTGACCATAATCATGCAACAGGTCAATAAGATATGAATGATCGAAGTTACACTATAAATTCTTGGATACTGCAGGATTTTCCAGAAAACAGTGTTTACAAAAACTGCGTTAACATTCAGACCATTGGATTAAAATCATCCATTTTTGTTTCCTATGAAGCTACTTCGTTATCTTTCAACTGATAGTGAAGATATAAATTGATATGGTTCAAGCAACGGACATCACGCCATGAGGCTCAACCGATGAAGAAGGGGATCTCCACTTCAACATGTGGATTATCAAGCTTCATAAGGAAAGAGAACAAGTGGAGAAAGAAACTTCAAGGGAACATGAAAACACAAAACATGAGATCTCTAACTTTAGGGGTTATTTAAAATTAGTGTTTTCATGTAATTAGAATCGAAACCTTCTTTTGGATTTAATGTAAAATTTATGTAATAGCTCTTAGAGCCTACTTTAGGTTTATGTAACTTAGTTAAACCCCTTTGTAACTAGTTTAGTCTAGGTTTAGTTAAAGTCATTTTCCTTTTATTTTAGGGAAATTCAAGATRCCTATAAATAGGCTTCTTCTTGTACATTTGAGGGGTGGATTATTGATGAATGAAAATAGCCATTGAGCTTTCTTCTTTGCTCCCAAAATCGTGAGCATTTGGTGCTTTTTGATCTAGTTGCATAAAACCCTTGAAACATGCAAGTTTAGGTTGGTTATCAAACTTGTGGAGTGTTTCACTTTGAATCTAGAACAAGTTCTCTTCATCCAAAGCCGTTACCTTCAAGGTAAGTCCCTTCTTCTTCCCCTTGGGTGATTCTTTGTGTGTGTACTAGATGTTGTCGTGTGTGTTTAGGAGGTGCTTGTTGTTACAAGGGTTGCCTAAGCCACTTGTGGTAGGGTTGAGTACATCATGAATTTTCAAAGTTCAGCTTATGGTTTTTGAACTTGGTATGTTTCTCTAAAAAATTTTGGTTCGGAGAAAAATTGGTAACTTTGGCTATAGTGCTCGGTTTAAAGTGAAATATTTTTTTGTTTGAAAGCATTTTGAATAGTGAACAAACACAACAAAGAATTGAAAACTTTAAAGCAATTTCAAAATCAATAACTCTCATGCAAGAATGATAGAAAAGTAGGCACACAGAAGACAGAGAACGGGGGTGAAAATTTTGAGATTTTAGAATAAGGGTAAAATAAAGATAGTAAGAAAATAAAAGAGATATATCTGATCTAGAGTCTCAACTCTGATACCAAATGATATGCGACAAATGAAATGTATGGACTACTCGAACCTCTAGCCACTTAAATCCAATTGTATAGTTTAATTTGTTCAACTCGAAAGGTGAGAGTTAAATGGATTACATTTGCTGTCAAAACCATAAGTAGATAGAATGATCACTATACTCGAGGCCCGAAACACTTTATGAGTTTAGTGACAAACCAAACAAGTGTGCTCCAGTAATAATGCACCCTAAGTTCAATCACTCAAACAATAACACTATTTGGGTGGTAGGAGGTTTGCACGAATGCAAGGTTTACGAGAAACTGCTCTTTTTTCGAATTAAACTTCAATAACATATTTTCAAACTACAAAGGGGACGCCTATTCATAGGCCAAGGCACGAGATACAAGAAATTTGCAAAATAAAATAAACCTAAAAAACTAGAAAAACAAATAATGTAAATCTTTTCCTAAAAACAAAATCATACTTGCCTAAAACTTAAAAGAAAAAAATTCTCACAATAAAATCTAGATAATAAAACAAGTTAATAATTAAGGAAAATGTTTTCCATTTTTTTTACACTTGGGTGGCAAGCAAACACAAAAGGGAGCGAAGGGGCTGGGGCGCACGGATGGGCGAGGCAGCAAGGTTGGGCGGCGCGGATAGGCTTGGCAGCTATTAACATTATGCACTCAATATATGCAGTTTATGGATAATAATGGATCATTTAAGTCCTAAAGTATGAATAAAAACGTATTTTTAAACCTATGAAAACAACGTTCATCAGTTACCAAACTTGTGGAGTGTTTTTGACCCCAAGTATGGTGAGTATTCTGTCTACTCATGGTATTTGACTTTAAAGGTAAGGCATCTAACTTTTCTCTTTCGAGTTGACCATCTATACGATTGGATTCAAATGACTAAAGGCTCGAGTAGTCATACGCTTGGGTTGTCATGTATCAACTAACTTGAGCTTTAGAGTATTTGTTCTCTAATGCAGGTCTTCCTGGCTAGGCTTGCAACAAAATAATTTCTCATTTCACAGTTCTATCTAATTATCTAAGTCAATCACAAAACAAAGAGAAATATAGGGAAAGCAATAAAACGACACGACAGATTTATACTGGTTCACCCCAACAGTTTGTGAGCTACGTCCAGTCTTTTGCTTGATGCGGGTTCCACTAAAATTGAGATTGAGATACAAACGCTCACAAATATATCTCCCCATAGATATTCGCAAGTCCCAACAAAAGCCCCTATCTTCTAAGTATTTAATCCAATATACTTAGGTATAGGAATGAAAACACACACGGAACAATCGAGAACGAATTACCCCAGACGTGGATTTCGATTTGCCCTTTCTGTATACTGCCAACCCGAGCCGCTGCCACAAAGATGCTGCAAAAATATCCCAAATTTGTCTAATTACCCCCCAAATACACAGCTAAACCTAAAAAGAAAGGTGACCCCTTTTTAATAAATGATGTAGTGTTGAGACGCTGGGCGTGGTATCTCAATGCTACACCCTTTTTTTTTCTGAAATTTTGTTGCAATGCTGCGGTGTCGTGCCCGCAGCCAAATGGCCCTACAACACCCAATTACTTCATTCCTGCTTCGACCCGATGCATCCCGTCTCGTCTTGACTCAACTCTAGTTTGTTTCGACGTCGATTTGACTCCACCAATCTCAACAAAACCAACAATCAAAAACCAACACCAAAATCAAACGAAATCAAAACAAAAAAAATTGTTGTAGAAGTTGCAACAAGTCGTAGAAACTACAACATGCCATCCAAGGTCGTAGAAGCTACAGAATGTTGTAGAAATTGAACATGCAACTGACAAATCCATCAAGATCCATAACTTTCTTGGTGGGCAAAAGGTGCAATAAATACTGCAAACAATCTTATCTTCTTCCTCATCTTCTCCAACCTTTATCTTATTTCTCACCTCAACCTCTGATCAATATCTTCTTTGTAATCCTCCTCCAGATTGCCTTGATCTATGCCTTTATTGTTATTAAATTGGTTGCTTTAATACCATGTTAACTTTTGATGGCTCTAATATCATGTTAACTTTTCGATGATATGATATAAAATCTTTTTCTTATGAGGAAAATGTTTTTTGAATTTTTCTTGTCCTATTTAGTCTAGGTTTTTTATTTTATTTTTCATTTCTTTTTTAGTTTTGTCATACCATTTATTATAAATAGACATAGATGGACCATTTGATTAGTGTGCACAAATAGAGAGGCGTGAGTAATTCTCCAAGAAGAGAGAGTTTAAGAGTTTAATACTTGTGTATTCATTCGAGAGTTTGAAAGACTTGTAGAGTGATTCAGGAGCGTTTTTTTTGTGTTAGGGAAAACTGAGAGAAATCATTATAAAGAGTTTGTAAACTCTTGGAAGATTTTTCCTAATATTTTAGTAGAATCTGCAACGGTAGCAGAGAACTGGACGTAGCCCACATCAGGTGAACTAGTATAAATTCGACGTTTAATTTTTCTTCTCCCTATCTTTATTTATCGTTCTTGTTACTTAGGAATTTTAGATTATTTTATCTAATCTTTTAAATTGTGAGTTCCAATTTGAAATTTGAATTATGCATTATTTGGAACCATAACTTGATATGAGATTAGCTAACAAATATTGTCTGCATTTGTAATTAAGATAATTATTAGTTGGCTTCGTTTTTCGCAACAATTTGTTTTAGTACGATGGAGCTTTCATCTGTCTTATTTGAACACATAACCTTTAGCCAGCCTCCACTCCTCTTCACTGCAGCATACCGCCTATCAAATAGCTCATCAACAAATTTCTCGAGACTTGCCGCTTTGTTCGGTGCCTAAAGTAATTTACCCACATGGCTAAGTTAGTGACATAGCTTTGATAGAAATTGTAAGGGCAATGAACCTCCCTCCACATCTCCACTTATATGATATTCTCCGCTTGGAGCACAAGCTCTCACGATTTTTCTTTTGGTATTACCCAAAACATCTCATTTCAATGAAAATATTGTCCCTAACTTACATACCCATACCCACAATATTCTCCTTCTTCCCTCGGTCAATGCTCATCTTTGATCACATTGCCAACAATTAAAATGTACAAAACAAAAATGGGCTAGATCGAAAGTAATCTTCAAAAAGCTGGATTGGAATTAACTCAAATTAAAAGAAAGAAAAAAGAAAAAGAAAAAGAAAAAACCTTTGATCTAATCTGATGAGTTACTAACTCAAACAGTCTCTATGTACATACAAATCAAGTTGGCCAGTCGCCAAAAAATACAACAAAAACAAAAAACACCACTTTTACACTTTCTCCAATTCCTCATTCCCACCACACACCCTCCGCCATCTCCTCAGCACCAATTTAATCACATGAACAAACACCAGAGCAAATATTCCACCATACACAGCCCCTTCCAACAAAGAGTTCCTACTCAAATAAACAGAGTCCAACGTTATAAGCACCCATCCCAAGCCTTCCAACAACAACCTCAAAACCCCACCAAATTTTGTGGTTGCCTTCTCTCCCGACAGCCGACAAACAATTCTCGCCCCCAAAGCACACACCACAACAAACGTTGTCCTCGACCATCCCCTGTAAGACAACAACCTGCCGCCGACCACCAGCGCCTCGTCT